TCCTTCCCTTTCTCCTTCCCTTTCTCCTTCCCTTTCTCCTTCCCTTCCCTTCCCTTCTTCTTTTTAATCTTGTATCAATTGATGTATAGGAGTTCTTTGCATGTTCTGGATACTTAGCCTTGGCCGGTGATGTATGTTACAAAATTTTCTCCTACAGACTCTGTGGAACTGTTTACATCTTCCCACTCTTGTGCCTTCCTCTTAAGATGTGAGCCAAGGTTACACTGGAGCAGTAACATCTGACAAAAAGGAACTTTCCTAAAGTTGTATGACGTAAGCATGTCCCATGGGAATAAATACAAAGTAGTGGTAGTAAGGCTACTGTCTTGGAGCAACAAGCATTGTGGCACACTCAATACACAAAACATGAGAACATGCGGTGTTATGTGTAGTAGTTAAAATCTTGGGGTCAGACTGCCTGAGTTCAAATCTGGTCTCTGTCCTTTCCTTTTTTTTTTTTTTTAATTTAAGTTTATTCATTATTTATTTTGACACGGACAGCCAGAGCCAGAGCCAGAGCGAGCGCAGGCATGAGAAAGGGAGGAATATAGAGGAAGAGAGCAAATCCTCATCAGGTTCTGTGCTGTCAGCACAGAGCCCAGTGTGGGGCTCCATCTCACAAACCGGGAGATTGTGATCCTGTGAGATCATGATCTGAGCAAAAATCCAGAGTTGGATGCTTAACTGACTGTGCCACCCAGGTGCCCCTGCTGATTCCTAATAAATCTATGAAGTGGGTGAATTATTTTTTTTCTTTTCAAATTTTTATTTAAATTCTAGTTAGTTAACATATAGTGCGATGTTGGTTTCAGGAGTAGAATTCAATGATTCATCACTTACAACACCCAGTGCTGATCCCAACAAGTGCCCTCCTAATGCCCATCAGCCATCTAGCCCCTCTCTCACCCACCTCCCTCCATCAACCCTAGTTTTTCCTCTATCATTAGGAATCTTCTATGGTTTGTTTCCCTCTCTCTTTTTCCCCCTCCTTTATGTTCATCTTCTTTGTTTCTTAAATTCCACATATGAATGAAATCATATGGTATTTATCTGTGTCTGACTGACTTATTTTGCTTAGCATAATACACTCTCACTCCATCCGCATGGTTGCAAATGGCCAAGATTTCATTCTTTTTGATGGCTGAGTAATATTCCGCTGTGTGTGTGTGTGTGTGTGTGTGTGTGTGTGTGTGTATGTGTGTGTGTATACACCACTTCTTTATCCATTCATCAGAGTAGTTCTGTTTTTAACTTTATGAGGAACCTCTACACTGTTCTCCAGAGTGCCTGCACTAGTTTATTTTCCCACCAACAGTTCATGAGTGTTCCCGTTTCTCTGTATCTTTGCCAACACCTGTTGTTTCTCGTGTTGTTAATTTTAGCCATTCTGACAGCTGTGAAGGGTATCTCATCATGGTTTTGATTTGTATTTCCCTGATGAGTGATGTTGAGCATCTTTTCATGTGTCTATTAGCCATCTGGATGTCTTCTTTGGAAAAGTGTCTATTCATGTCCTCTGCCCATTTCTTCACTGGATTATTTGGGTTTTGGGGGGTGTTGAGTTTTGATAAGTTCTGTAGATATTGGATATAACCCTTTATCAGTTATGTCATTTGCAAATATCTTCTCTCATCCTGTAGGCCGCTTTTTAGTTTTGTTTATTGTTTCCTTTCCTGTGCAGAAACTTTTTATCTTGATGAAGTCCCAATAGCTCATTTTTACTTTTGTTTCCCTTTTGTCTGGCAACACGTCTAGTTCGAATTTGCTCTAACTGACATCAAGGAGGTTGCTGATAGGATTTTGATAGTTTCTTGTCTCATGGTTAGGCCTTTAATCCATTTTAAATTTATTTTTGTAGAAAATAAAGAGTATAAGACAGTGGTCCAATTTCATTCTTCTGCATGTTGCCATCTAGTTTTCTCAACACCATTTGTTGAACAGATGGTCTTTTTCCCATTGGATATTCTTTCCTGCTTCGTTGAAGATGAGTTGACTCTATAGCTATGAGTACATTTCTGGGTTTTCTATTGTGTTCCACAAATCTATGTGTTGGTTTTAGTGGCAGTACCGTACTGTCTTGATGACTACAGCTTTGTAATATGGCTTGAAGTCCAGAATCATGATGTCTCCAGTTTTGCTTTTCTTTCTCAAGAATGTTTTGGCTATTTGGAGTCTTTTGTGGTTCCATACAAATATTAGGATTGTTTATTCTAGCTCTATGAAAAACACTGATGGTATTTTTATAGGGATGGTGTGGGATGTGTAGATTGCTTTGGATAGTATCAACATTTTAACAATATTTGTTTTTCCAACTCATGAACATGGAATGTTTTTCCATTTCTTTATGTCCTCTTCACTTTCTTTTATAAGTGTTCTATAGTTTTCAGAGTACAGATCTTTCATCTCTTTGGTTAGATTTATTCCTAGATATCTTATGGTTTTTGGTACACTTGTAAATGGGATCAATTCTTTGATTTATCTTTCTGCTGCTTCATTATTGGTGTATAGAAATGCAAATAATTTCTGTATGTTGATTTTTATATCCTGTAATTTTGCTGAATTCATGAATTAGTTTGAGCAGTTTTTTGGTGAAGTCTTTCAGGTGTTCTATATAGAGTAACATATCTGCAAATAGTGCAAGTTTGACTTCTTCCTTGACAATTTGGATGCCTTTTTTTTCTTTTTCTTGTCTGATTGCTGAGGCTAATACATCCAGTACGATCTTAAATAGTAAAGGTGAGAGTGGACATCCCTGTCTTTGTTCCCGACCACAGAGGAAAGGCTCCGGTTTTTCACCATTGAGGATATTAGCTGTGGGTCTTTCATATATGGTTTATGATGTTGACGTATGTTCCATCTTTCCTTACTTTGTTGACAGTTTTTATCAAGAATGGATTCTGTATTTTGCCAAATGCTTTTTCTCTATTGACAGGATTATATGGTTCCTACCCTTTCTTTTATTAATGTGGTGTATAATATTGGTTGCTTTGTGAATACTAAACCACCTGGGTGAATTACGTAAGTCCTCTTGCCATCAGTTCGCTTATCCATTAAGATGGATATAATAAAAGAATCTATATTATAAGATTGTGAGAATTAAGTGAGTTAATGAATGCAAAGTATTTTTAGCAAGGCTTGGCACATGGTGAAATCTAATATTAGCTATTACATAATAAGAATTTGGCTTTCATGTTGTTTTTGATCATATCTGACTTCTGTACCAAGGTAATTGAATGTGTGTTTTGTTGTGTGGCCTTCAGCATTGAGTACTTCATCGTAATGAACACTTAGATAACACAGTTGTATGATGGAAAGGATTAAAAGTAAAAATAACAGCATATATTTTTTAAAAAGGCATAACAGTCATAAAGATAAGATATAGGAGTTCCAATGGGCAAAACAGCTTCTTTACAATATATTTACTGAGGATGGTGGGCATTTCTCTTTGCCAGTTAAAATGGTACAGCTTGGGCAATTGTGTAAACACTATCTATTGTTCACTTGGCTTGCCAGCTTTATAATTATACAATTTTGATTAATTTTTTTATTTGCAGGCATTTACAGTATTTCATAATCCATGCATAAAATGAGATTTGATAGATTTTGTTTTTATGTGCCATTGATTTCCAAGTCTCCTAATCTAGATTGCATACAATGTGACTACTGTGAACTCACAGTAAGTTTACTGGACCATCTGTCCTCTGAGCTCTTCATACCAGGGGTCAGTGCTTGGTGGGGCCCTCTGATCTTGCTGGGAGTAATGCTTTAAAAAAATTTTTTTTTTTGAGACAGAGAGAGAGAGAGAGCACACACATGTGCAAGCTGGGGTAGAACAGAGAGACAGAGAGAGAATTCCAAGCAGAGCCCAATGCAGGGCTCAAACTCACAAGCCATGAGATCATGATCTGAGCAAAACCAAGAGTCAGACAGTTAACTGACTGAGCTACCCAGGTGCCCCTGTGCATTTTTTTGTGTATAAATTATGTCTGAATAACATTTATTGAATACATGCTTTAAAGATTATGGCTAGCTTTTTGGTATTTAATTGTTAATTATTATTACTATGTTTTGCTGTTTCATAGTCCTAATTATTTGTATTCTTCGAGGTCATCCTCTTTTGCGATGCTGGGTGACATAACCTCTTAACTGTATACCAGGGATTCTTAACCTGCAGTTTGTTGATAACTTTCAGTGATCCTTGGACCCCACAAAACTGAATGCACGATTTTGCATGTCCGGGTATCTTTCTTTTCCCTTGAGGAGTGACTTCACAGTTATCACAATATTCTCAAAAGGGTCTGTGACCCAAAAGATATTTAAAAAGAACCTCTGCGTTAGATGTTTCATGCAGACTATGTAGGAAACAGTATCAGGAGTTAAAGATAAGTGGATGAATAAATGATAGACTCTTTCCAGTTGATGCTAAAGGAACCAAGCCTCTAATAGTTTACAGATTAAAACTGGCAGATGTCGGTGGCTCCATGAAACTAAAAAAATTAGACTAACCTTCTGGCCTGAGAAATGGAATACAGTCCTGATGAGAATAGCAGACAGAAACAGTGCAGCATAAAAGATCATTCAATCACATTGACAGAAAAAGGTGCCTGTTATTCAAAAGTATCATATACTGGATCTATTTTAAATGTTGAAAATAGATAGATGAACATAATAGAAGCAACAGCTATGATTCAACTGTAAAAAAAATTATTTAATACTTTTCTCTTGACAGGAAAAAACAATTACCATCGTGAACGCTAACAGAATTGTATCAGGTTCAGCTTTGCCAATGTTTAACAAAAGAAGACAATTTTGATGTGGCTCAGTTATGGCAATTTTCATACACTGAGTTTTGACAATTGGTTATTCATTCTCAGTCCCTGATTGCAGGGAGGCAGTACAGCATTAAATTGATGGCACAGGGTTGTAAATGCTCTTTGAGATGTGGAGTTGCTCTGAGCACATCTGAGAACCTTGGTTTTCTTTTATGTGGTTATTGACAGGTTTCTGTGGTCTGTTTTGTCCAATGTGCCTTGAGTGTGACATCGCCAGGCATCATGGAGAGTGCCTTTGTTGGCCATTGTTACCTGCGTCCACCTTTGCACTGAGAATTGGCACCAGAGAGAGGCATAAAATACGGGTAAGTGTGTTTGAAAGTGCATGTGGACTTGGATCTATATAAGAACCTGGATGTCTTTTAAACCTGTGAGTTTCAAAAAAAAAAAAAAAAGAGTCTGAATGAGGCTGCTTAAAAACACCACACTTAGTGGAAGACTTTGAGAAAGGAAAGGGAAGACACGTCTGATTTCATTCATTATTAGGATGTATGTAACCCCAAATGCCACATTATGAAGAGTATTTCCAAGGGGTACCTATTACAATGCTGATTACTGGTCACTGGGCTACTTCTGTTTCTCTCTCTTACTGCATCAAGAGAAGATGACAGGTAGTATTTCCTCCTGCACCCAAATTTGGAAGATATACTTGGGATGGTCTGACTTAAAAGGAAGACTATGTGGCATACGCAGAATTCACTTTGGGGTTTCCCGGGGGTTGCTTCAAAGAGCCAATCAATCTCCAGGGCAGCCAAGACTGAGGCATAGTGAGAGACTGAGCACAGGCAAGTCAGACCTATCAAGACGTGGACAGTTACAGATAAAAAAAGACATCTCCTTTTATATTCATGTGGAATGATCCCTAAAATATATTTTTAAGTGAAAAAAAAGTACAAGGCACAGAAGTATGCAACTATTTACATAAAAGGACTCTATATATACTTATGTAGACATAGAATTTGTCTGGAAGTGTATATAAAAGAACTGCCAGCAGCGGTTGCCCCCAGACAAATTCCCTGGGTGGCTGGGACAGCTGTGGAGGAGGATGTTCTTTTTACCTCCTATGCCTTCTTACTGTGAGAATTCTGAACCATATGCACTTAGTACCCACTCCAAAGAAGTAGATAATTATAAATATTAAGTCCTAATAGAAAATAAAATGATGTTGACAGAGAAACCAGTGGCTTCAAGTACGATGTCTGTATCAGAAGTCCTAAGCAAGGACCAGTCTGTGAAGTGCAAGGATTGATAAGTGGTTGAGCTGCTTGGCACTTGGGTATCCTAGTGGATTGGTATCCCTGGGCATGGATGTAGGACATTGACTTGGTGGATCTTGGAAGCCGTGGATGGGATAGACCATCAGGAAATATCGTAGAGGCCCCGGGGTAATGGCCATGAGCCTGTGTGATTGGGCCAGAACACAGACCTGGGTCTCGCCCTAGGGCACACTGTGTGAGGACTGGCTGGTGGTGCACTGCTGTTGGCCCTGTTCCATCTGTCAGGTGGCCCGGGAACTCAAGATGAGGGCCTCCCAACTCTATGAAATCTATACAGCTCCTTCAACCAAGGACAACTTTATCTGACGGAGCAAGAAAACTCCTCCTCCTCACCCCCCAACCCTCCTCTCAAACCCTTTTTCAGAGAGAGACTGTTCTTAAGTTTTCACTGAAATATGAAAATAAAGGATTTCTTCCCCTCTTGTCTTTACTTGTCTTTCTCTACACATGCCTCTGGTGAAGTTTCTCTGTCATTTGTCTGGATTTGCTCCTCCAGCCTCACCACATAAGACAGATTCTAGAGGGAAGTCTGTGCCTTCCACACCCACCTGGAGTTTGAGAAGTTGGCATTTCTCCCCAATTTCCTTCTACAATCCTTTCATGGGAAGCTTTCTTATGCTCCTTTTCCCAGAGCGCCCGTGGAGGGGCAGGAGATGGTCACTGTTAGTTAGCACCTGGATTGAACACTAAGTATCACTAAAACAGAGAAGCGTTGTCCTTCCCTCGTCCTGACTCCTTCAGTCCCCACGCTGCGAAGGAGACTGTCTCAGGTTGCTGCTGCTCTTGAACAACTTCCCACCACTGGCACATCTTTGGCCTCAGCCTTGAAGCTTTAGGTGGGCAACTGAACTGCATCTGCCCCATTTCCCCCCAAAAAGATATGTTTGGTTTTACTTATATGTGGTATTTGGGAAACTCAGTAGATAATCATAGAAAAAGGAAGGGAAATGTAAAATAAAAACAGAGGGAGACAAACCATGAGAGACTCTTAAATACAGAGCACAAACTGAGGGTTGTTGGAGGGGAGGTGGGTGAGGGGATAGGCTAAATGGGTGATGGGCATTGAGGAGGGCACTTATTGGGAAGAGCACTGGGTGTTATATGTAAATGACGAATCACTAAATTCTACTCCTGAAATCATTAATATAACTATATGTTAACTAACTTGTATTTAAAAAAAAAATCTGTTGAAGTCCTAACAGATCTGTGAATGAGACTTTATTTGGAAATAGGGTCTTGCAGATGTAATTAAGTTAAGATGAAGTCATTAGGGTGGGTCCTACTCCAGTATCTCTGCTGTTCTCACAAGAAGAAGAGGACACCCGCAAACATAGATGCACAGAGGAAGCCCTCTCAGAGCTGAAGGCGGAGGAAGAGATTGGAGAGATGCAGCCAGAAGCCAAGAGGTCCTGGGAGGGACGGGCAGTGAGAAGAGGCGAGGGGGGACCCTCCCCTACAGCTCCCTGCCCACATCTTGATATTGGACTTCCAGCCTCCACAACCCTGAGACAGAGAGTTTCAGTTGTTCTAAGCCACCAGTTGTGCGGCCCTTGGTTACTGCGGTGCTGGGAATCTGCCACACCAGCCATCTGTCGCGTGCATGGCACACTCCTCCTTCTGTTAGGGCGGCAGCACGGAACAGGGCTGAGAAGTCCGGGTTCTGAAGCCCAGACTGCCTCCTCTATTTGCTAATTGTGTCATGATAGGCAAGGTTTCTAATCTCTCCATGCCTCAGTGTCCTCATCTGTAAAATGATAATGCTGACTTTATAGGGCTGTGAGGATGCTAATAAGTCAAGAGTCTTATGGGGCACCTGGGTGGCTCAGTCGGTTGGGCGGCCAGCTTTGGCTCAGGTCATGATCTCACAGTTGGTGGGTTTGAGCCCCACATTGGGCTCTGTGCTGACAGCCAGCTCAGAGCCTGGAGCCTGTTTCGGATTCTGTGTCTCCCTCTCTGACCCTCCCCTGTTCATGCTCTCTCTCTCAGAAAAAAATAAAACATTAAAAAAATCTTTTTAAAAATGCAATTTCTGTAAAAAAAATAACAAACAAACAAAACAAGTCAAGACTCTCAGTGCAGTGCCTGGCAAGTCTCAAGGACTCCGTAAACATAAGCTGTTACACCTATTTAGATGCTACTTCAGATTTGCAGCAAATCATGCTAGTTTTCCATTTATGGTTGAGATACACAATATTCTTTTCAATTAAATTTTAGATTAAAATGGAATCAATTAACATAATATTAAGTAAATAATAATATGGATGGTGGATGTGGCAAACGTTTTGAAGGTGGCAAAGCACATTTTATTGACTACTTGTATATGTTCAGCGTGCTCTACATGGTTTAAGGCATTTGAACCTTACATCTCTCAAGAAGATGCTATTATAGCTCCTTTTTCCAGAAAAAGAACTGAGCCACAGACAGGTTAAGTGACTTGCCCAAGGCCACATAGCTGCTAGGTGACTGGCAGTTTAGGTTCTTGAGGCTGCGCTGCTGACCTCTGCACCTCTGACTCTACCAGAGATGGCTTCTGGCCAGGAGACCTTCCTGGGCCCATGTGGTTGTAGAAATGGGGAGTTTACAGAGATGAACCAGCTTGGCGAGCATTGGTGGCCATCGCACCCATCCTAAGCAGTTCCCGTCCGACAAAGTGATTCCTCCCTCTCCTCTCAGCCCTCCCTTTTGGATGTCCAGAGCAGCTACCAGGAAACAGTGCCCTTTGGGAAAATTAAATGCTCAATGTTGATGTTTAATCTGTGATAAAAATGCTCCCCTCCAAGCCAGCTACTGAAAGAACCAGACCTGAGGGACCACTAAACCAGTTTTATTGTTCCATGCTAAAACACACACTGGGCTTCACAAACTGACAGCTGGGAACGATATGCATTTCTGACGAAGGAGAGTTGGGGCATGTCCCCACTTTGGCATATGATGGGCCTCCTACTGCATGAGGAGCAGACGGCAGTGCGGGCCCTAGTTTCTGGTGTGGATCTCCCGTGTTGGTGGGAGGTGCAAACAGACCTGTTCAGCAAGGGGGCCCTTGTTTCCCTTTGGTTCTTCTCCTCAGTCTGGCTGGTCAAGAGCAAACTCAACACTTCACTAGAGCCACAAACCCAAACAAAACTCTGAGCTCTAAAAGTTATTGAGTCTACCACTGAATCATAGCATAGAAAACAGAATGAATATGTGGACAGTTCTTGGAAACCTGATGGTGGAGAGTGATCCCAAACTTAGGGCCTTGTCTTCTGGTTTCCTCCCAAACATGTCATGTCCAAGAAAAAAGGACTTAACAAATATAGGTGCTTCCTTCCCAGGAGTAAAGTTAACCAACACCCAATATTTAAGTGAGCGACAATAGCTTTGGTATTAAACTTCCCATTTCCTCACACTTGCAAAAAGCTGCCAGTGGTACAAATCTAGTGGAGGCATATTCTAGGTATTTTTCATCTCACTAGAAAATTCCTTTTGGTTTTCCAAGATGCAAAGTGTGGAACGGATCTCCAATGACTCCATGTGGGCAAACAACACCAACACACAAGCAACAGACATTTCACAGTAATCCATACAGATTATGGTAAATTTTACAAAACTAGAAAACACGTAAAACCCCACCAAACATGTTGCCTTTACAGTGGAATATACTAAGAAAATAAGCTGCCAGCTTTGGAACTTTCTATTTTTTTTGGAACAAAGATATGAAAACTTTGGAAGTCCTTAAGTGTCCACTGCTCTATACAACATTTTTTTATAAGTATACATTTTATATGTCTAAGGTTTATTTACACAATAGTCTATAATAGCTAAAATATTACACCTTATTTTATAAACATCATTCACATACGTTATTACCAAATAAAGATTCTCTTTTGCTCCATTAAAAATACTATACTTAAAAAAAACAAGAGGCACAAAAGTCTCTATAGCTTTACAGCTTATATTTCCATGGAGGAGTAAATTTTTCTCCCTTACCATTTTCTCTTTCCACTTCCCCCCTAAACAATACCATCTCTTCTGACCCATGTATAGTAATAAGAAACAACAATTCCAGAAGATGAAATGCAGACTTTGTGGTTAATAAACTATTCGAGGGTCAATTTCTGGGCTGACCTTATTCTAACCATCCTGATTCATCCTCATCTCCTCCCCCATCCCTTATGCCGCTTTTTTACCCATAACTATTTGGAATCTGTGTGGTGGCATTGACAGTACAGAGATGAAAACTTTAGGAAATGGGGTGGGGTGGGGCAGGAGGGCAGAGGTACTTTTCTTAAGCTTCTGGTTTTAGCTGGGAACAAATCAGGTATTCATTTAATATTTTTAAAAATTATTTGGTATTGGCTAAGCAGGTTCAGAGGAAGAGCTAAATCTTCATGAAACCCTCCACTTGATAAGTCATGGAAAGTTCCCAGACAATTAAAAAACAGCCAGTGTAAAAATTTGGAGTGGTGATTTCCTGTCACTGTCAATGTGAGAGGAAAAAGAAAGAAAATAGGAACGAGAGGCTCCTGGACACAGGGCTTTAATTACCTACTGAGGTCTAATGGTTTCGGGGGATTAGAAGTCATGCTGTGTGTTCACTCCACCCCCACCCCTCCAGTTTATTCAGTTTGCTTTTGTGTGGGCAGCTTGCCTATACTTTCCTTTTTCATACATCATCTATGAAAGTAAAATTCCTTCCAACTCTGACATTGTATGACTTTTCCTTGGGAAATGAAGTCACTGACTATTTTTAGGTGAGCTGTAAGGCCTCATGGTAGTAACAAGTAGATTCCAGAATCTGAAGGCAGCATCTCTATATTCTTTGCTGCTGAGGCTAAAGAGGGGACAACCAAACCTGAACTCATCCCAGGGGAAATAGAACCAACATTGAGTCATAGCAGGTAAGAGACAAGGGATGTCAGACACTTGGCAACTGCATCATTGACCATGTGTGAGAGGCAGTGTCATCACTGAACTGTTCTCTATGTCGTCTCTCCATACCTCTTGCCTTGTCACTCACCACCTGGCAGATACAGTCAATACAGTGGGGCGTGTTGCTTATTATCACTTTCCACTGGGGCTAATGGAGACTAGGGTATGGTTAAAAAGTCCCAAGTTATTCATCTAATTGGGAGATGGGTGCTAGGTTGAGTCCTCCATGTGGCAGCTTCACATAGAAGAAACCATTTCTGTAACCACAAAATATGTTCCTGCTCATGGTTTGGTTGATGCTTGCTTGATTGAGGTGTTTCAGTGCAACATTATAATCCTGAACTTTAAAACAACCAACAATCCAAATACTCCTGTGCTCTTGTCATTCTCTTTAATAATCAGAGCAGAAGGTGCTTTTAAGAAATTCTCATTGATGTCCTAAGATAGGGGAGAAG